TGTGAGTGTGTAACTGATGTGATTCTGCAATTTGTATTTGGGGTAAAAATGGGAGTTCATAACCCAATTGAGTCAAATGTATGAAAGATGATATGTCATGAGCTTTGCAATGTTTTGAACAACCAATAAAAAAAAAAGAAAATATCTGATAATTTGAAAATCCCCCCACCTAAAAATCAACTTCCCACACCTCTCATACTGATTAAATATCTGTCATTAGAAATCATTAGGGAACAACTTCTCTTTGAAAATAAATTGGAATTTCCTCTGGAAGGACTACACTTTAATCCTATGAATCCCTAAGTGAACTCTATGCTATACAAATTCCAAGAACACTGCTTTTAAAAACACTTCCATGAAATAACACACACATTTCTTGCTATTGTAAATGCATGGAGATAGGAAGCACATTAGGAAGTGCTAAGAGAAATCCTGTTTGTCTTTGAGAAATGCAGAGTTAAATAATTTCTTCAAATTTTGCTTTCCTTCCCAATTAAACATCTATTAATATATGATGGAAATGGTCTTCCCAAGGATTATGGCAATGATGTTTTCTGTCATTGAAACTTAAACTGAAACATGAATTAATTTATTGGATCACATTCATCCCAGATTATGCTTCTTAAATTGGTGATTTCTCGGTACATGAAGTTTCAGGCTAAAACAAACATTTTTCTAAGTGCACCAATTATATTTTATAATAATTTAAAACAAGATTATATATTAAGTTTAAATGACATTCTAAAATAATTTAGAAATTTCACAATAAATTTTAAGGAAAAAAAAACAAGGTAAATTTCGAGTTTTTGAATTTTACATTCCTTTGACACTAAGACATTTCACAATCACTGACTCTTGACAAGTAAGTTGAGAAGGAGACCTGAGGGGAGGACAAGAAACTAAGCTTCAATGTGTCCTTCAGTCTACTCCACTTTACACACCCATACACTGCTCCCCAGGAGTCACCTTAGGATAATGTCCCACTTAGTTCATTCCTTGCATTATAAGCTACACCTACTCCTCTCACCTTCACTATGCTTTCTTTCAAGGAAGTCATTCACCTTCCACCATCTCTCTCTCTCTTCTCTTCTAAACTCGTTGAGATTGCATATTCCTGAGGACCTAAATCTGGACTTAATCTGTAACTCCCAAGAAAACCAAAATGAAATTCCTGGAACAAAACAGATCCTGGATAATTCCTGTGCCTGAATGGCTAGGAAAGCTTCACCCTTCCACAAGGCCTGAAGCCTTTGCTAATGTACTCACTGGAATGCAATGGTGTCCAAAGCCCCTATCTAAATATACTCACAAAATGTGAATGCTTATATCTAATCTATACTACAGATTTTAAATTTATTTCCTTTCCGAAGGGACCTATTTTCATTTACAAATTTATTAATCCAGATGGAGAAATAATGGAAAATAATCCCTTTAATAAAGAACTCTGAAAAAATAGGCTTTTAAAAGTAGAATGGATTACCCCCCGGAGCTATACCATTCCCAGAGGTTCTTCTAATCTTTCCTGGAGGAATCCAATCAGCTTAACCAAGGAAAAGCACAAAATAGTAAAAGCTTGTATAGCAACTTTTTATATGTTGCAATAAAGAAGAAGCTAAAACGTGGAAGGCTGAACCTGGTAGGCTGTCGTGGGTGATGGTTCCAACAAATTCCAAGCCCACCTCGCCTCGCACAGCGCGTCAGCGGCGCGGGGATCCCTGCACCTGCCCCCTTCTCCCTGAAACCTCGCCGCGCCTCGCTAGCTCTCCACCCGGCTGACGCCCCCTTGAGAGAACTCTTGACTTTACCTTGAGTGAGGGCCAACAGGCAGTAGTGAATCAGAAACCCTTGTGGCGTGTTGCAGCGCTGGAGACACTGGGGATGCAAGTTGCTCCATCCGCAAGGCCCCTCCTCAAACTCCGACTGTGGTCCGGGGCGCTCTTCGGAAGCCGGGGCAGTTGATGAAGGCAGAGGAGGTCCCCATGACTTGTGGGACTCCGGAGACTCCTGTGGCTGAGAACTCTCCCTCTGGGTGTCGGAGGATAAAGCAGAGACTTCCACCTGGGAGGGCGACGCAGACAAGCGGTGCGGGGTGTCTGGGCTGGAGGGAATGAAAGCCGGGTTCTCAATGCCTTTGGTTCCCTTCATTGTCGTGAACTGTTCTCCCGACTCCAGTGCCTCGGAGCAGCAAAACGCTAGGTTCCTTTCTGGCTCCTCCCCTGGACAGGTGACAGCGCCCCCGTGCGGAAAAGCGTCCCACCTCCCGGCCCTCCCACCTCTGGCAGTCTCGCCGCCACAGTCATCCGGACCCTCCCCCAGAAGCTCACCGCTGCCTGGAGCTTGGAAGGCAGTCACCAGACTGCATGATAAGTGGGTGGCGCTAGGCTGCGCCATACCTGTCACCTCTGGTGTCAGGATAGGGCTTATAGGAAACAGCAGCGTAGGCACGCGAGCGCGCCCGCTCCAGGTGAGAAGTGCGAGCCGCCCTACCCTCAGTCCCAGGCCCTTGGGGTTCTTTCTTGGAGCCCAGGGACAGGGAACAAATAGGGGTTCTGGGAGTCTGTGGCCAAAAACTCCCCCTGGGTGCTGATATGAAAGCTGTAAACAGAGTTGCATCAGGAGATCTTTCAAGAAAATATATTGCGGTTTTCTTCCTTTGCTACTTACCAAAGCAAGAATCCTGGACTCCAAGAATCAAACAGCCACACGTATAATTTTGGATTCCATGAACATCGTGATACAACTTTTACCTGTCATCTTCCTCAGAAAGCATACTAGCTTCCCATAACAACCACTTTATTGGCAACATAACCACTTCTTAGTTTTTATTTCCTCCAAACTCAAAGAGTAGACATCATGAAACTGAAAACTTATATTTAACCTTCTCTGGACAGTATGTTGCATGTCTAAGATCAACAATGCTGATAATCGTGTGAATAATTATCATGTATCAAATAATCCTGTATATAATTTTTACCCATGAAATTATAAGCAGAAACTTTAAAGACCTTAACACTATGTGTGATAGGAGTTGCAATTTGTTCATTCTTTAATCACTAAAATAAAAAAAAATCCTAGGTTGTAGACACTCTTAGGGTATACCAGCAAACAAAACCTGAGAAATAGGGCTGGGGTTGTGTCTCAGCGGTAAAGCACTCGCCTAGCACGTGTGAGGCCCTGAGTTTGATCCTCAGCACCACATAAAAATAAATAAGTAAAATAAAGTATTAAAAAAAAACTGAGAAGTATTCAGACCCTTATGTACTTAACATCCCAATAGGAGAGAGCCAGTAAATAATAATACATAGTGGGAGATACATAATATGATAAATGATTTGTAAAATATTTCTATCAATTACTTATATTGTAGTTTCTGAGTTGAGGGATTGAGTTATAAAATATACATTTACTTTGAAAAGACATTCTGTTCCCTGTTTCCTAACAGTTAAAAAAAAAAAAAAAAAAAAGTCTAGCCTAGAATATGGGGAAGGAGTAGCAATAAAAACTAACATTTTTAAATGTCTACTATATGCCACATTATTAATCCTTGCATGATCATAACTATTATTACCTACATTTTACACATTGAAGAAATCATATACCAGCAAGGATCAGTAACTCTCACAGCAATAAGTGTTCTGCCACTTGTTAAGGATTTGTTCTCAGTTCTCTCAGCCTGGACATTATTATTTTCTGTTTTTAAATAACCACAGTCAGAATTATCACATTCTGAGATATCAGAACTCATATTTCACCTATATTTGTGAGGTTTGGGAAACTTATGCTGCATTGAATACTTCAATTTTGGAGGTGTCCAAATGAAATGTAGTATGTAACCCTCTTAATTTCCCCACTCCATCTTTTTTTTTTTTTTTCTGTTTTCTTTTTTTCATTGTACCGGGATTGAACCCAGGGCATTCTACCCTGAGCTATATCCCTAACCTGTTTTTATTTTTATTTTAAGACAGGATCTGGCCCAGGCTGGCCATGAATTTGTGATAATCTTGCCTCCCCTCCCAAATATCTGGAACTTTAGCACTCACCACTCTGCCTGCTTAGCCTTCCTTTTGACAGAAATGAATTTAAATTTGGCATCTATAAGTATAAGGAAAGATCACCATTTTAGCTATAGAATATAAATAATTCATTCATAGTTTTATTTGAGGAAATGTGGACCTGAAAATATAGCTTAAGACTATTCTGCAGCTTTTAATTAACAAATCCAAACTATCCAATCAAAATCAGAGTATTAAAATCATCATACACTTAAATTCACACTACCAAGAAATCACTTTTACAGTGTTAGAGTGTAGGATTTTGTTGAAACACTGGCAAAAGTTCTATTGCTTCATACTAAGCACCTCTTGCTCTTACTGAAAGTATTACCAACACCACTTTCCTATTACCTTACATTCTTGATGCTGCAATGATAGAAGTAAAGGGACTCAAGTTTACAACAAAGATTTTCAAACACTTGCCAGTTTTCACATCTGATAATTCAGTGGAAAATTGTCACATTTTAAGTTAATATATTGATTAATTTATGATAAATATGTCTCTAATGAGAAATGTAAATGTACTTGACAAATTGCTATATTTTTGAAGTAGATCTCATTTGCTATATTTTAAGGGAGAGAGAATGGGGGCGAAAACAGTGTCTAAATTTTATAGTAAGCTACAACACTGTACATATAAGCAGATATCTCTTCTATTCTCTGCATTGTGCAATACATCTTCCCTATCAGTAATTGAATTAACTAAGGTAAAGCGGCATAATGAGAGAAGCCATTGACATTAGTCACCTAACTCCCTTTTCTCTGATTCCATGATTGAGAGCCTTTATGATTACATTTTGGCTTTTCAGGTTGATTGGTCTACTGGATAAAAAAATGTACTGATATGCCTATTTTGAGTACTATAATTTCCCCTTCTGTGTACTCTATTAATTCCCTTCCAGTGGCAGACCAAATGTAAATTTTTTTTAGCATTATAATACTAAAAGGCTCATAGAATACTAACCTTGAGGATCTTGACAGTACCTCAATACAAACATGACCAAATACTGATATTAATGAAGCCTTAAAAATCCCAGTGTAAACATTTTACTAATACAGAGGATCTTCTTTAACTAATTCAAAGCAATAAATCCATCTAAATAATTTAGTATTCTTTATTTTTCCCATTTAAATGTTTCACAGAATATATAATGAAAAATAACAAAAATTTAAGGCTAAATTATGTATTTTAATGCTGTTTTGAAATACAATTGCACATAAACATATTGATTTTGAAATGAAATGCAGCTATACTTTCCTTTTATACCAATCATAAATTATTGAGATATATAGTATAAACATGACAGATCACAATTTTTGAAAAGTACTTGTGTCAACAGTTAATGCAATAATCTCTTAAGAAAGCTAACCTTGTTGATACAAAAAATTCCCTACAATGTAAAAATTAATATACAATGTCAATTTAAACTTTTTATTGATATATTATTACAATTTACTCAAAACACCATTGAGCTTCCTAAAGTATACTTATGATACAAATATAATATTATTGCAAAAAAAACATAGTGAATTTATACATATCAAGAGGTGTTTTTAACTAAAAGAATTCATTGTAAATTAATAATGAGGATATTATACCTAAAATGTATTTCTTTGCTACTCAACATCTGATTTCGATGCCTAATAGAACCTTCAATATGCTAGGAAGATATGGAAGATATGTAATCACAATAGCATAATCATGACAAAATGTCATCATCATTGATTAGAAAAACAGCCAAACTTCAGCCCTTGATAGTTCTGTAATTTAATTTAGTCATTACTTTTCTCTTAGCAAAAGGAACTAGTACAATGATAAAAGTTGTTAAAATTTAGATTTGTAGAACCACAAAGAACATTAAGATACCATTTGTTCCAGAAGCCTACCTCCAGGAATTTTAAAGTCAAATGTACCCACAAGCTCAATGCACTCAGAACCAAAAATGAGACCAATTATAAGTAAAGAGAGAGAGGTGACTAAGGGATTTTCATATATTCTTTCATATGAATCTTTTCTTAATTTACTGGGAGTTGGAAATAGTGTGAGGTTGAGGGAGCTAGAAAGGTATTATTTAAAAGCAAAACAAAACACAAATAAAAGTAAGAACTCTAGTGAACTGTGTTCAAGGTAGTGGACAAACTTTTTTTTTTTTTTTAATTTACATTTCGTTCCCTGAATGGTACAGGTTGCTCCATCATAGTCAACTTTGAGAAAAAGGAAATTAAACTCAGGAAAGTCGCTGCAACACTAGCCACCTTCATAATCCCCTGCCCTAGGTCTGCCTTGTCTACTCACCTGCCACCTGTCACTGTGGACCTCTGGACTGCTCTAATACTCAAAACCCTTAAATGTCCAGACTCCACCTGATAGAAAATAAGGGCTTTGGGTTACTTCCCCAACTTTGCCCTGTTTCAGTAGGAAGCATCTTGGAGATATCATCGCCCATTTTTCCCTAGAAATGGAATGTAGAAATTGACAGTGAGGAAATGTAACCATGCCCTTTAGGCTTTGAATACAGCCCTTGCTGCTCTGTCTCTGCAACTTATTTTTAAATGGACATGTTTCTTTCTCTTCCTCTCTCCCTGCTCTACCTAATCTCTCCCACTTCCTGATGTCAGGGGGGAAATGATTACCATTCTTCCCCATTTTAGGCAGATGTATCTGTCCTTGAAAACCCACCCACCACAGGAATGAAGTAATCCAGACTTTGGGGATGATACCAGAAGATCTCAGAAATGACTCTCCCAAATTAACAAGTGAATTACAACTCCAACAGAGAACATGTGGAATGCAGCCTTTGAATCACTTCTTTAAAAGCCTCATGTTCCTGCTGATGGGCAGAATCATAGCCTCTGGGACAGGAGTCCCCTGTGTTTCTCCTTTGCTAACAAAGCAATACACTTTTTTTTTCTTTTTCTAAAAACAAAACAAAACAAAAACAACAACAAAATAAAATAAAATAAAACCCTTTATATTTCTACTTAATAATTAACAATTAGCTGTGGAAATTCTTAGAGCATACTCTTAAAGTACAAGCATGAAGATATCAGATCTCACAAAAGAAGTATGAGAACAGAGAATGGCTTCAGTGAACACCAGAAAATGCACAGAATCAAACATCTATTCTCTGAGGTTAGGTAGAAATGTTGCCAAAAGCTTGGTCTTTAACCCTAATTCCAACCCAATAAGAAGTACATGGTTTTGAGAAAAAGGAAAAAAGTTTATTGCTTTGCTAGCAAGGAAGAAACACAGGGGACTCCTGTCCCAAATGCTGTGATTTTGCCCAGGAGCAACAGGTACTTTTAGAGAGGAGATTCAGAGAAAAGGAGATTAAGGAGGAGAGATCAGGAAGGAGAAGATCAGGGAGGAGAAGTTTAGGGAAAAGAAGATCAGAGAAGATCAGGGAAAAGAAGATCAGGGAGAAGTTTGGGGAAAAAGAAAAAAAAAAAAAACTTTAAGTTTCAAGGCCACAATGTATATAGTCAAAGCATCAAGTGAACCCCTGTTACAAAAGATCTCTGTATTCCATTTTATCAGAACACATGAGAATTTACTAGACCAAAGGATTACAGAACCTAAGCTCTTCTAAGGCAAAGTGAAATCAAGACAAATTTTTTTAAAAAATTTGATATTGATATCAAAAGTATAGCCAACACACTCTACTGTCATGTTTATCTAATAAGAAGAAATTTTAAAAAATGTATAGCCAGGGCTGGGGTTGTGGCTCAGCATAGAGCACTTGCCTGGTGCGTGTGAGGCCCTGGGTTCGATCCTCAGCACCACATAAAAATAAATAAATAAAAATAAAGGCATTGTGTATAACTAAAAGAAATAAATATTTAAAAAAATGTATAGCCAATGGAAGGACTTTGCTTCCATCAGAAATGAAGTAACAGGGACCAGATTTAGCCTGAAATATGTAAAAGAAGAAAAAGAACACACTGGATATAAGATGCTGATAAAAAGTAACCCTTAAGAGACAAGAAGGAAGGCAAGCAGTTTATATCTTGAGAATGTTTTCACGTGACTGAGGGGAGGGTGGGAGGTGGGAAAGGACACAGCTCTGTCAAGTATGCAGCCAAGGAGACAGATCTGATGTCTGAGGAGACCTGTGGTTAGAATACATAGAGCATAGTACCAGAGAGGGAAAAGCCACATGGAGGAGAGGTGCAGAGTATGCTCTACGCAGCAAAGTGTGCATAGCACATAGGTGAGAAGAAACTATTCTAGTGACAGGAAAGAATCATCTGAAGGGTCAGAGAGATGAGCCAGTAGTCACACAGGGCCAAATAAAGGTGAAATAAAGTTTTCAGGCATAAAAATCATAAATAAATAAACAAACAAATAAATAAATAAATCCATCACCCAGACACCTGCATATAAGAAATGTTGAAAGAAGCCCTTCAGAAAAAGAAAAAAAAATGATGATATATAAAATTTTCTTATTATTTTGATCTCTGTAAAAAATAAGTTAGTGTTTAAAGAAAAATAACAATGTGGGGTTCATAAGATATGGGAAGGTGAAAAGTATGACAATATTAGTATAAAGATTAGGAAAACAAAAATGGAAGCTATTGTGAGTATTTGACTTCTCAGTCAGTGTATTCAAAATAGGATGAAATGATTAAGTCACAACTCTCTAATCTAATCACTTTACCTCTGAATATTCCTGCCTTAACAGGAGCTTTTGGGGGACACCCATAACAAAACCATAACAGTAATTACACTATAATCATATAAGAGAATACTCATATTCTCCTACTGACTCTCAATATAATTTTAAAGAATATGAAGTTGTGAATATGGCAAAACATAAGTCATTGAAAAGTCTGAGTAAAGAGTATATGTACTGGGCTAGGGCTTAAGCTTAGTGGTAGAATGCTTGCCTAGCATGTGTGAGGCATTGGGTTCTATCCTCAGCACAGCAAAAAATAAAGCAAAATAAAATAAAATAAAGAAATAAAATGAAGGCATCCTTGTCCATCTACAACTACAAAAATATCTTTAAAGGAGTATATTTAATAATATTGCTACTCCTATAATTTTTTTTTTGGTAATTTTACAATTAGCACAAAATTTGAGATGTAAGGTTTGAAAAACAAATATCTTTCATAAAACCCTTTAAAAGTTTCCAATTATACTCAGAATACAATAAAATGCCATTTCATGACCTACAGGGTCTTGTATATTTTAGCCCTTGGTTATATCTCAGTCCCTATGGCATACTGCTTTTACTCCTTGCTCAATACATTTATCATTAGGATCTCTTTCTTTTTCCATCAATACGACAAATCTTCTCAGCCTCGAATCCTTTAAACTTGCTATTCTCTCTACCCAGAATATTGTTCTTTAGGATCTTGTAAAGCTGACATTTTCTCAAATTCAATCTCAGCATAAATGTCATCTTAAGGAGGCTTTCTCTGGTTTGATTGAAATAGTCACACACACACACACACACACACACACACACACACAGAGAGAGAGAAACATATTCTCTATATTATATCACCTTGTCCTGTTTACTTTCCTTATATCTTTTGTCACAATTCACAGATATTTTGCTCCCCTGTATTATCATCTTTCCAAAACCAAAATAGGTTTGTATTTCTAATTTTAGCATGATAAACATTTATTTATGAAATCCTACTCCTAGCATGACAAACACTTATTGAATGTAATGAATCAATCTGAAAGTAATCCACAAAATTGTAAACATTATAATAACCATCATGATACCTGTCATTTATATTGACAGTAACATGCTAAATTCTTTATGGGTACAATTAGTATGTTAACCTTCCCAATCTTACTTGGTGTGATAGGCAGCTTCTGCAAGGACTTCCAATGACCCCAACCTTGTGGTTCTCATAACTCTTGGTCATTCCCTTCTTTTGTAAGTGCTGGCTAGAACTATTAACTTGTTTCTTACAAATCAAATATGGCAAAAGTTGTGAGATGACAAAAAAATAGCAAACATACTAAAGTGAAATTTGGTAGATATGACCTTGGTTACATTATCAAAGTTAAATAATATTAGTAATACATATTGACATCAAGTACCCTACGGGATGCAATGGAAAGGGCTAATCACTCCTGCATTCTTATAATGCAAAATCTCAATCTATTCATGAAAAAAAATGTAAAGCAAATCCAAATTGAAGAGTAATTTACAAAGTGACTACTAGTCATAAAAGTTTGTAGATTATGAGATAAAATAAAAACCTGAGGAACAATCCCAGATCAAAGAGGATAAAGAGCTATGACAACAGAAGACACTGTCATGTCCTAGATGAGATCCTGAAATGGAAGAAAAAATATTGGTTAAAATGCTGGTGGCATATGAATGAAGTTGTAATTTAGCTTAACAAAAGTAATGGAATGTTTGTTCTGAGAGTAGGCTGTCAACAACAGTCACTCCACAACAGTCAGATTGCAATAAATCACCAAGTCTCTCATTCTGCCTCTAATGAAGTAACTTGCAGAGGAGCTGACCTATAAAGAAGTCTGCATAGCCAGGAACTGTAAGTGGTCTCTGGTCAATTTCCAGGAGGGGCTGAGGCCCTTGGTCCAACAGTCCTTTAGGAACTGAATACTACCACAACTATAGTAGTGAGCTCAGAATCAGAAGCAGAAACATGGAGATGACTGCAGCCAACACTGATTCCAGCCCCTTGAGATGCTAAGCCACAGAACCCAGGTAAACTTCATCCAGATTCCAGGCCCACAGAAACTGGTATGATAAGTATTCACTGTATTAAGCCACTACATTCTGGATTAATTTGTTATTTGATAAAAAATTACTGAGTTACATACTGCCTTGGTTACTTAGTAACCTAGATACATTATTCTGTACAATTACGCCTATTTTGACAATGAGGAGAGTGGCTTTAAAATGTTTGTAACTAGAGGCTGGAATTATGGCTCAGTGGTAGAGCACTTGCCTAGCATGTGTGAGGCACTGGGCTCGACCCTCAGCACCACATAAAGATACATAAATAAAATAAAGATATTTTAAAAATGTTATATAACTTGCCGAAAGGCATACAATTAAGTGACAAAACTGAAATTCAAATCTTATTTTTTTCAGAGACAAAAATCTATTGTCTTAATCATTGAATTATAATGTGACAAAAGGTCCTGTATGATAGTAGATTTATATATATAAATATATATATGTATATATATGTGTGTGTGTGTGTGAAACAAAAATGATCATGTTATGGCCAGATTGCAATAAATCACCAAGTCAATCTAAAAATATGGAATGCTTCACGAATTTGAGTGTCATCCCTGCACAGGGGCCATGCTAATTTTCTCTATATGGTTTCAGTTTTAGCATATGTGCTGCCTAAGTGAGCACAGTACTTACATTTTTGCTAATGAAATTGTTTTAAGCCAGAATTTTTTACAAAACGTTGGAATCTATTTTCAAATAAATTTATGAACATAATACTCTTTAACATGTAATTCTGTTCAAGTAAAACTGTTTTTTTCCTTCGACAGGGTGGCGTTATTATCATCACACTCCAAATGGATGATAACAAGCAATAACACTGAACTAGCAAATTCTCTTAGTTACTTGGAGGTACTCTCAAAACAATCAGTAGCCCAATAATAACAGAAAATATCAGAATTCCAAAAGATTCTTTATAGTTACATTGAGGGATTTCAGAACTGCTCAAGGATAAATATATGAAATTAGCTTTATTTGGGAAACACTTGAACAGGATTGCATGTGAAGAAAGTCTCTCACAGCATACCATGTAGAGGCTACAGCTCTTGGGTAGGCAGTATCCAGAAAGGAAGGAGGGCAAGAGAACTCAGAGGGGAAAAGAGGAACACGGAGGAGACTTTCATGACTACTTGATGTTCCGAGCACTCCAGCCAAGAATCAGGATCAGATAGCTGCAAAAGGAGGCAGCAGTGTGTAGGGCTTATCTGATCTGTGGTTAATGCCTGTTGAGCAATTCCCCATAATATGGAAAGCACATAGGCTATAAATGTATAAGAATCTGTTTATCTGGGCTATCTTGGAAACACCGGAAGTGTAAAAATTTGAATTTGGCACTAGTAAGCGTAAAGAGTTAAGCTCAGGAGTTGCAGACTACCAGGAATAAATAAACAACCCAGGGGTCATCTCTGGTTCATTCATATAACAGATCCACACTAGAGTTCTACAAATTGACTTGACCCAACAAGCAACAACTTGCTTTAAAAACCTTTAGGCTAAAATAAGATCATAACTTTTGTTACTTGGCAGGCAAATGTGAAGTGTCAAAGAAGTGTTTGTTTGTGCATATGAGAGCCTCAAAACACTTTGAGAAAAATATTGGCCTCTCCCCGGGCATTGATGTATTCTCGCCCTGGCACTTACAGGAGGAACTGGGGCTAACTCTAGGCAAAACAAAACAAGATTTTTAATGTATAGTTACATCTTACTCTGGTTTTTTACTATCTTGTATTTTTTAAAAAGATGACTTTTAAATGAGATACACATTCTTCACTGCAGTCACTAACCACAATTTAGAATTGCAAATCTGTGTGCCAGAGGGCAGATGGAATACAAGGGTTGAAGGGTAATATTAATTATGAGGTATAAAATTTTAAAGCTCTAGTGTCAAACCAGAACTCTACGAATAAGAAAAAAATTTGTGCCTTATAGAAATATCTACACAGAGCTATAATTTGGTAAATGTATTTTTAGTATAAACTATGTCAAGACATATTGCAATAAAAAAGTCACTCTTCAAATTGTGGCATGTTAACATATTAAAGACTTTATTTCTAGCTCCATACATGTTTAACAAGCATTTGGGGGATGTTTGCTATATGATATACATTCACTCAGAAGCCCAGGTTAACTGAGGATCTACCATCCTGCAGATGTACTATCTGAACCATTATAGACACAGTAGCCCAAAAGAGAATCTCAGAAGTGATCCATTTCATTTCTGTTCACATTTCACTGAACAGAATTAGTAACAGCAAAATTTAAAGGAGACCAAAAAAAATGTAAGTGGGAGATGTGAATAGAATATTGGATGAATATTATCTTTGGGACAGTGCCACTCCTACAAGTTTTGGGAAACCAGTATGATAGCTACACTAGTTCCCTATTGCTTTTTTCACAAATGACCAAAAAATAGTCACTTAAAAAAAATTGTGATCTTATGGTTCTGGAGAATGCAAAATGGATTTCATGTGATGGTATTTCTAGACTGATTCATTTCAGGCTGATTCATTGTGGGGTTGGGAGGGGGAGCATGGGAGGATTAGAGGAACTCTAGATAGGGCAAAGAGATGGGAGAGGAAGGGAAGAGGCATGGGGGTAGAAAAGACAGTGGAATGAGATGGATATCATTACCCTAAGTACACGTATGAAGAGATGAGTGGTGTGAATATACTTTATATACAACCAGAGATATGAAAAATTGTGCTCCATATGTGTAATATGAATTGTAATGTAGTCTGCTGTCATATACAACAAATTAGAATAAAAAATTTGTACATGTAAAAAAAAACCCAAAAATATTCAAGGTAGTCTTTCTCACATCCTGTCACTGACATTGGCTCTCTGGTTCCTCTCTGACATTTAAAAACCCTTGTGATTACATTCAACCTGGATAATGCAGGACACTTTCCCAGTTTTAAGGGTCAGGTGATTCGAACTTTAATTCCATCTGTTATCTTACTTCTACTTTGTCCTATAACATACCTGATTTATAGCTCTGGGTATTAGAACAGGAACATCTTTGGGTGGCCATTTTTCTGCCAACCCCAATAATATATTAAAAACATTCCTACAGTTTCTTCATACCTGCTAATAATACTTAGTATTTTGTGCAATGCCTTTACATAAAATTCACATTTAAAAACTGTAAGTATGGACTGATAGACTTCCTTGTATCAGTTTATAGGAATGAAGTAATTCAATACATAATACATTTTCTTTTTGTCTTAGAGGCAAGGAAGAATAAATGAATTTGGTAATACTTGCCATAGGCATTTTTTTTTTAAGAAAGAGAGAGAGAGAGAGAGAGAGAGAGAATTTTTTTTTTTTTTAATATTTATTTTTTAGTTTTCGGCTGACACAACATCTTTGTATGTGGTGCTGAGGATCAAACCCGGGCCACACACATGCCAGGGGAGCGTGCTACCGCTTGAGCCACATCCCCAGCCCAGGCATTTATTTTTTAAAGAAAAAGAAAATTTGTAGTTGCAGATGGACGCAATACCTTTATTTTATTTATTTATCTTTATGTGGTGTTGAGGATCAAACCCAGGTTCTCACATGTGCTCGGCAAGCACTCTACCACTGAGCTATAGCCCCAGTCCCTGCTATAGGCATTTTACAACATCAGTTTCTGGAATAAATATGTCCTGTTTTCCTGGGTTGTCTTATAATTTTTTTCCTTTAAAAAATGTTCCCTGCTACTTCCAATGATTTTAGAAGCAAAACTGTTTTATTAAGTGCATTTATAGAAAAACAAAATAATGTTAGCTTTGCTCAATCAATAAAAATTATAGAATATTGGATGCAAAATGAAAGAAAAAATAAATATTTGCCACCATTCTGTAGAACAAACTTATTTTGTATATTATGTACAATCGTGTAGAAAGCACAGCAGGAAAGAATATTCGAAACAATAAAATAGTGTCCCTTCCCTCAGGAGCATAACATTTATTTGGAATGACAAAACAATGTATATGAAGACACGAGTATGTCCAGCAGGAGATAAACAGACTGTGGCTTATGAAAAATGCTGAGTTAAATCAGGAGGAAGAATGATCAGTAGTATGTATAGTCTAATGGGCCAAGAATCAATGTCAGAAATATTTTTAATTAAAAAGCAACAGAAGTGTTTGTGTCAGATGATTTATTCTTTTAATAAATTTTATGATGGAAGAATTTTTTTGTAGTTGGACACAATAAGTTTATTTTATTCATTTATATGTGGTGCTGAGGATCAAATCCAGGGCCTTCCATGTGCAAGGTGAGCGCTCTACCATTGAGTCATGACCCAGCTCCATGGAAGAATTATTTCATTTGGTAAATGCAGCCTTGATATCAAAACAAACAAAAAAAAAATGTTACTTCCTGAAAATAAAAGTTATAGAACAATTCTACTTAAAAGTATATATGCCATGATTTTATCCTCTTTTATTGCTGAGTAATATTCCATTGTGTATATATGCCACATTTTTTTATCCATTCATCTATTGAAGGACATCTAGGTTGGTTCCATAATTTAGCTATTGTGAATTGGGCTGCTATAAACATTGATGTGATTGTGTCCCTATAGTATTCTGTTTTTAAATCTTTTGGGTATAGACCGAGGAGAGGGATTGCTGGGTCAAATGGTGGTTCCATTCCCAATTTTCTAAGAAATCTCCATACTGCTTTCCATATTGGCTGCACCAATTTGCAGTCCCACCAGCAGTCTCTGAGTGTACCTTTTTCCCCACATCTTCATCAACACTTATGGTTGTTGGTATGGAGTTATAGAAGATAATGCTAAGTGAAGTTAGCTAATCCCCAAAAAACAAATGCCAAATGTTTTCTTTGATATAAGGAAGCTGATTCATAGTGGGATAGGGGGAAGCGTGGGAGGAATACACGAACTCTAGATAGGGCAGAGGGGTGAGAGGGAAAGGGAGGGGGCATGGGGTAATTAATGATGGTTGAATGGGATGATCATTATTATCCAATGTACATGTATGAGGACACAAATTGGTGTGAGTATACTATGTATACAACCAGACAAATGAAAAATTGAGCTCTATATATGTAATAAGAGTTGTAATGCATTCTGCTGTTATATAAAAATAAAAAAAAAATCCACAATTAGAAGAGAAAATGTAAATCTTTGTGAGTATGGAATAAAAGCTACTAGACAGTTTTATGTTTGTCATTTCAAATGAATTCAGAATTATGCATCTGGTAAAAATAAATTCAATGGATTGAGTTTTCAAGCAAAGTCATGTTTAAGCACAAAGTATGTTAAGAAAACACAAAATTCATAAAATGAAATTTTAGTTTTTTAATTTAAAAAAAGTATATATGCAAAATTCTCCAAAAAAATGAGTAAGCCAAGTTGTCAATATATTAAACTTTTTTATGGCCAAGTAGGATTTATTCCAGAATTATAAGAATATCTTAATTTTTAAAAACATCAATATGGCTCACATTGATAGATTGAAAGAGAAATATAGAATGTTTATCTCAATAGTTGTTACAAATTCTAATAATAATTAACACATATTTAAAGTAAAAAACACTTTAAAAAAATTAAAAAGATTAAGGCAGTTTCAAGAACTGATAGATTTCTACCTAAAACCTATAGCAATAAGATTTAGGGG